GAGGAAGAGGAGGAGGAAGAGGAGGAGGAGGAAGAGGAAGAGGAGGAAGAGGAAGAAAAGGAGGAAGAAGAAGAATGACTAAAAAGAAATAGCTGCCTTAGTCCTGAAACTAGACTTTCAGTAGTTTTAAATTACATAAATCATTTCAAGCATAAATGTGTGAATCATCAAAACAGAACACTTATTTTTAAAAACAGTATATAAATGAAATGGAAAAATGTCACTCTGTATGATATTTCACAGATCAAGGACACCCATTTCCATTAGCAGATTCAGCTGTCTTTGTTTTGGCTCCAGGGGCTGCTGTGAAGCTTACCATGTCTACCCCGTCATCCTTAGGAAGAAGTTACTGTGATCCAGAAGTATCGTTGGAATGCAGAATAAGCTAACCCTATCTCTGTGCCTGGGAACAAGGCCTTTTCTCTCCTATTTTAACCTCCCTGAGACTAAAACGGTGTCTGTGGAACGGGACTGGAGAAGTAGTCACTGACCAACAAGTCTTCCAACCATTCTTTCTGGAGCAGGGTGACAGTCACCTTCCCAATCTGGACCAGCTTGGAAATATGAGAGGATTATTTGCAAGCATCTATGGTTGTTGACTAGCAGCTCTTAGGGATAGGTTCTCCTGCCCCATAATTCATCTCTTCCTAAGAATTAAACTGCTTCTTCAGGTAGAGGTGGACAATAGAAACACAGGTGATTGTCAAGGATCATGTGGCCAGCAGCATATCATAAAGACAGTTTATCCTGCATGCTTCAAATTCCTAGAAATTTCAAATTATGCCTTGTCATTCACTACTTTGGTTTCTTAAGAATTATGTTTTAAAATTAATAAAAATAAAATATTGCTGTAAGAATTACATGTAAGTCATATTTACCTTAACTGAGAAAATGTTCACTTTCAATAAAGTAGAAAGGCCTTGTACCAGATGACTAGATTTGAGACACATGCTGTTCTAATAGAAAGACCCTGGTAATTTTTTTACTTTGTTTAAATAACTCCATTTCACTAGAGATAAATTTGCAGTTGAGAATTTACAGATTGTATTTGAGTGCAACAGTTAAAAAATATTATTCTATGAATCTGTTACTATCTCAGCTAAATAAAATATTTATGTAGGCTGATTTTTGCAGAGCATAGAGTTTTCACTGACAGCTGTTCCCTGTTACTTCAGGCTCAGCAATGGCCAAAGTGAGCCCACTCAATACAGACTGAAGTTTACGCATCATGCTCATTTCATGCCGTTGATTTAATTTCACATTTACACTGTACTGCTGTAAATTGGCAGCAAAAATCTACACAAAAATTATCAATGACTTCAGAACAACTCTTCAGGGTGTAAACCAGTATTTAAGGAGTATCTAGACATTGCTGTTCCGGACACAGGCAAAGAGAAGTCCATTACTGATGTCACCAAACCTATAACCATCCTTACCAAATATTAAGAAAAATCCTGGACTCAAAGCACAGACACAGGCTGGTGCTGAGTTTAGATAACCAACCTTCTACCTCCCTGTTCTAAAACAGTAGATTTACCCCTGGAATGCTCATTAAGGAGCCAGAAGGAAACTGACTGAAGAGTTTCTCCCATTCCATCTGTTCATCTGAATGTGTCTGGATATTCTCCATCCAGAAATGAAATCTCATCACATTCTTTTGAATCTGGTGTGGACTTGGACACATACTGGTAACCCATAAAATATGGCAGAAGTGATGTCACATGACTTTCCTGAGTGAATTGGAATAGGTCATAAAATGTCCATTTGGCTTTCTTGGAACAGTTGCCTTTAAGACGGTCTTGCTTCAGTTCCCTCTTGGAACCCAGTCCCCAGGTTTGGGAAGACCCAAGCCCCATAGTTAGGTCATTCTAAAAGCTTTTGGTCAACAAACTCAGCTGAGTTGACCCTGTTTGTACTCCCAACCCAGATACCAAGAGTTAGAAAGAGGATTACAGATAATTTCAGGCCCAGCTGATAGCATCATTTGTATCCATTCAAGTTTTCCAGGCTGAAATTCCAGGTACAGCAGAACAGACCAGCAATCCCTACTGTGTATGTGTCTTAGTCAGGGTTTCTATTCCTGGACAAAACATGATAACCAAGATGAAAGTTGGAGAGGAAGGAGTTTACTCAGCTTACACTTCCACATTGCTGTTCATCATCAAAGGAAGTCAGGACTGGAATTCAAACAGGTCAGGAAGCAGGAGCTGATTCAGAGGCCATGGAGGGATGTTATTTACTGGCTTGCTTCCCCTGGCTTGCTCAGCTTGCTTTCTTATAGAACCCAGGACTACCAGCCCAGGGATGGCACCACTCACAATGGGCTGGGCCCTCCAACCCTTGATCACTAATTGAGAAAATGCCTTACAGCTGGATCTTATGGAGGTATTTCCTCATGGGAGGCTCCTTTCCCTCTGATAACTCCAGCTTGTGTCAATGTTGACACACAAAACCAGCCAGTACAGTATGCCTGATCTAATCTGTGGGCAGATCAAAATGATTGTTATTTTGGACTCCTAAACTATTTGCTACTTAGCAAGAGGTAGGGAAAAAAGCCTGTGTGAGCATCACACAAGGTTTTCTAACCTTATCTCTTTTCCAGTTGGCTTTTGTTAGTTACCAGCATATTTGTTGTCCTAGGAAGGTTCATTTAAGAAATAGGAAAAGAGGCTCTACTTCAGAGCTGAGAAGCCCTGGCTCCCTGGCTTCCTGCGTAGGCATATAACTTCAGTGTTCCAAGTCCACTTCTTCATCTTGCACTGGTGATCAGCACTTACCTGTTAGGATTATTTCGAGGATTAAAATAAATCCCACAACAATGCCTGACATCATGCTGGTGTCATGTTTCAGGAAACAGTTCCTCTTTCCCTTATGGGTGTCCTAGCTATTATTCTGTTGGCTTCTATCGCAATACAAAGACATGTTGCCAACTCCTAGTCATTCAACAGAACACCATGAAAATAAAAACTTAATTTGTCTCTAAATGGTATCTTGGGCTTTTCTCCTACATTAGCTGAGATGTTATCATCTTATGTTATATACATGCTTTTTCCTTATGACCCAGAGTTAATATGGGAGATGATGTAGAAGCTGACTGTCATTGGGTAAATGTTATAGATGTCATTAGGAGGTACTACTACTGCTATGGTTACTACTATGATTACCACTACTCCTCCTCTTCAATTGCTGATTTCTGACTAGTGTTCAACTTTATTAAATTTGAAGCTAAATGTGCCCGTAGTTGGCCTTAATCCATCCATTCATGTTCTAGAACTCTTTTAATTTAAAAAAATATTAATTTTATGCCTATGGATATTTCACTCACATGCAAATCTGTGCATCAGGTATGTGTAGTACTCACAGAGACCAGAAAAGGGCAGGGGATCCCTTGGGACTGGAGTTATAGATGACTGTGCACTGCCATGTAAGTGCAGGAATTGAACTCTAGTCCTCTGGAAGAACAACCAGCACTCCCAACCACTGAGCTATCTCTCTGTTTCCTGTACTGGCATTCTTGTTTATCCCATTCAGTATAAAATGGAGCTATCCTGGAGTCTAGCTTGCTGCACCATCTGCCTCTTGCAGTCTCTGTGATGATGTGTAGGTCTGGAAATGCAAGCCCTGCTTTCAGATCTAGTCTGACATCACACTACTAACAGAAGTGAGGTCCTGTACCTAGGACCTAACCCTCAGTAGCACTGTCTTTCAGATTGTCCTTTCCTTTACAGTTAAATTGGTCAGGAAGGTGAGTTCCCAAAGAAGCATCTGTCCCCTCTGAGGGTTACATGGTCCCATGCTTCACATCTCTAAGATCCCAGGAAAAGGAGCTCAGGAGATTGCAGCCCAAATTTCTCCTGCCCGAATGAAGTTTGTTCTTTCTTTAGTGAGTCATGTAGGACAGACAAGTTTCTCTAAACATCTGCTTAATGTCACTATACATTCCTGATGCCATCAACTGCCCTTACATCATTTCATCTAGGGTATCTGGAGAAGAAGGTTACCAGACCATAAATCTTTTTTATGGCACTTTATGTGGACAATGAACTATTAATAATAATTCTTCCATGCATTCTAGGCTCAGTATCTGTCACAAGAACTCTGCCAGATTAATCCTCCCTGAAGTTCTTCTTGTCCCAGTGTTGATGGTGACTAATCGATGTCTTATCTGGGGATTTAAAAATAGAACATTTTATATATACTACTTCTCAATAGCTTTTATAAATTGAATTAATGTAATCTTTATGTTGTTAGGGTTATCTTCTAAAATAAAACAGTGGTACCTTCCCAGACCCACCACAACCGTCAAATTCTAGAGTCAAAACAAGCTCACACAAACTGACCTCAATGTATTTTTTCAAATATTTGTCACATACAATTTATTTTTCAATTCATCATCAAGTTAAGTCCTTGTTCCTGCTCAGTCTCCTGATTCGCTCTTCTTTTGTTGTCCATTCTGATATCCTGATCTCCTAAATGAAGCATAAAATGAGCTATTAGATGAATGAGCCACAATGTTTGTGCACACTTTCCTATCTGTTTTCATCAGTTACAGAAACCCACTCTCCCTCAACTATTTCTCCCTGTGATTCGCTTTGTAAAGAATACTATTTCTTCCTGGTATCTGTTCTTTTAAGTCACTATTTAAGTCATTTAGAATCATTTTATATTTTGCAAGTATTAAGAACCCTTCTCTTTCTTTTTGTCTGTCCATTTCCACTTTACTCTTTGAATCAAAATTATCAGTATAAACCAACTAGGAAGGAGGGCTTCCCGGTGGCTTTTTGAACACCCTGTTCTTTCTTCCTTGAACTTTCTAGAAAGGTTTCTGCTTTGGAAACCCAACACTGCCTCCAAACTCCTTGGAATAGCAAGATGGTTTAAAATAGGATTAATAATGCAATGTGTTATCTATTGGAAAATAGGTTGGAAATTTTGAGTTATGCTTGCGCTATACCAAGCAGATGGAATCAAATCTTGATTTAAAAAAAAAATTAAACTGAATGAAAGCATCATCCAAAACAGTGTCTTGGAAGACCTCTGAGCAGGTGACAGTGACCCATTATGAGTGTTAATCACAACCCAGAACTGCTGGAAAGGAGGGGGACAGGACACTTATGGAGCTGAGCAGGGAACAGCATTTCAAACACCTCTCCCATCATTCTCTCAAGGACTTGCTGCTTGTGCTGAAGCCGGAGAGCGAAGTGGATGATCACAGAGTAATGTGAGTTTTCAACTTGACAGGAACCAGGGTCACCTAGGAGATGAGCATCTGGGTGTACTTGGGAGAAATTATCTAGATTGGCTCAGTTCCAGGTCATGCCTGTAATGGGTTGTCTTGATTAGTTTGATTGAAATGGGAAAAATCACCCTAAATCAGGCTAAGGCCCTGGAGTACATGTGAAGAAGGAAGCTAGTCTGATGCAGAGCAACTTGATCAATAGCTTCACACTCCTGCAGTAAGATTGCCCCTTCACACTGGACAACCCTTGTGCTGTGAGACACAACAAACCCTTCCCAACCACAGCAGTGAGAAAAACAACTAGTGCACAGGCAAGAATGAGCATGCTATAGCACAGAGTATTTCTGCCCAAGATGAGGCAACTGCACATCCTCAATAGGGCACATAAAACTACTGGATAAAGAGATGAAACCTGGTTTACCTTCATGCTCCTGGTCCTAGCTTTTGCTTACGGTCATCAGGGGGCTTGTAAAATAAGGATAGCCAATAGTCACAGATAAGTTAAAAGGCATTTCCTAATAAAAAGAGAAGCAAACAGTCAAGAGTTACCTAAATACTTAAGGAAAAGCAATAAATACCATCCTAGAGAGGCTTAAAACTCCTTTCACAGACTGGCTTTATTCTTGGTCACATGCTAAGGAGCAGACTTTCAAATAAGTAAAATGAATGTAGGCAAGATTTGAGAAAGCGAAAAAAATGCAAAACTTTCCACAAATCAATTGTGTCATGGATAATGCTAACATATATTTTAATACGAGAATATTAAAGATAATATTTGAATGAGAGGATTTTCACAGCCAAAGAATAGCTTAATGAGCTAGGTCAACCCCCAAATGACTCACAGTCCATCTTCCATGGACAGTCCCGTGAAAGCGTGAGAGTCATTTGCAAGACACTTGGAAGACACCAATCTGCCAAACAAAACTCAAGGAAAAGAAAACACAGTAGAGAATAAAGCCATATAGGTAGCCAGTGAAATAATGAGATAAAATGAAGATTTAATTTCTTGTATGTAAAAGGCCAGCAGAAGGATTGTGGAAACACTGTCAGGGACTGGAAAGATGGCTCAGTGCTTTAGAGCACTTGTTGCTCTTGCTGAGGACCTGGGACCTGCTGTTCAATTCCCAGTTCCCACATGTTGGCTCAAAAATCATCTGTAATTCCAATTCCAAGGGATCTGATGCCCTCTTCTGACCTCTGCTTCTGACCTCCTCAGAAATTACGAAGGTACATGGTACATAAGGTACATAATATGCAAGCAAGCAAAATTCTCATGCCTATAAAATACAATAAATACATCTTTTAAAAAAAAAAACCCTGGAAGGAAATATCATTGTGAAATTGCAAAACTCCAGAGAAAGATTTTGTTTTTAGAAAGAAAAATAAAATATATAAAATATGACGCTGGTAGGACATACCAATTGTAAGAAAGCAGTTTTAAAAGCTTATCAAAATATCTGGCAATGGCGGCACATGCCTTTAATCCCAGCACTTAGGAGGCAGAGGCAGGAAGATCTCTGTAAGCTTAAAGCAAGTCTGGTCTATAGACTCACTTCCAGGACAATTAGGGGTATAGAAAGAAATGGGGTTAAAAAAAACAAAAAGAAAAGATAAAAAATGGAAAAAGAAAATGGAAAAGGGGCGATCAAAGTACTGAAGTGACCCTCCAGGCCTGCCCCCAGTGACCCTCAAGGCCTGCCCCCAGTCACCCTCAAGGCCTGCTCCCAGTGACCCTCAAGGCCAGCCCCCAGTGACCCTCAAGGCCTGCCCCCAGTCACCCTCAAGGCCAGCCCCCAGGGACCCTCAAGGCCTGCCCCCAGTCACCCTCAAGGCCCATCCCCAGTCACCCTCAAAGCCTGCCTCTAGTGATATCCTTCCTCCTGCAAGCCTGTATTTCTTGAACATGCCCTAACTTCCCTCACCAGTATCACCAACCAGAGATCAAATGTTTAATACTTGAGCCTACAGAGGGCAGTTTTTATTCAAACCCATATCAGATAGCTATTACCAAAATTTTTATTAAATACAGAAAACACATATTAATGATATAATAAAGTTAAAACCCTTATACATTGTCCCTAGGGAGGAAAATATAGCAGTCACAGTGGGAGAAAAGAGTATGTCAATTTCTAAAAAAAAAAAAAAAAAAGTCAAAAATAAAATTCCTGAATTCCTGTCTGACATAACAAGTTTACTCTGGGTTTATACTCAAAGGAGTTGAAACAGATACATGAATCCAGGTAACTGAGGAGTTAGCAAGTCATTCATGACCAACAAGATCTGGAGACAGCTGAAGCTAATGCACAACTCACAGAGGAATGGATAAAAAATAGAATATACATATACATTATTCAGTCTTAAAAAGGAAGAAAATCCTGACAGTTGCTACAGTATCGATGCATCTTAAGTCCAGAGTGCTGAGTGGAATCAGTCAACCATTAGGGAACAAATGCTATATAACTCCACTTAGGTAAGGAACTAGAATACTCAGATTCACAGAAAGTAAATCCCATTGCTTTGTGAGCAGGAGAAAGCCCAGCAGTTGTTTAGTAGGTAGAGTTTTATGCTGGGACGATGAGAACATTTGGATGGACGGCGGTGCTGACTGTGCAATAAAGTGAACACTACTCAACTGCACTTTATATGCTTAAGATGGTCATGCATATTTTGTTAACTAAGGAGAGAGAGAGGAAGACAAAAAGGAGGGAGGGAGAGAGGGAAGGGGCAGAAGGAAGGGAGGGAGGGGGATAGAGAGAAGGGAAAAGGAAGAAGAGAGGGAGGGAAGGGAGGCAGGCCAGGCAAGATTGGGGAGATTTACGAACACGAAAGGATCCAGGTGTTACTTCTCTGGCCTGGAATTCTTTTTTCTCTCTTTAACACAGGGTCTTTCAAATGAACCTATAGCTCACTAACTAATTGGGCTTGTCTGGCTGTCCTGGCCATTCCCTGTATCCATTGTCCAAGTGTTTGAATTATAAGCAGATTGCCATATCCACCTATTTACATAGATGCTAGGGAGTTGAACTCCCATCCTCATGCACCTTGACAAGTGCTTTTTGTGCTAAGCCATCTCCCCAGCCCCTTTAAAATAGCCACTTTAATGGTAAAAATACAACTAAGGAAATGGAGTACCCTAGGTTCAGAAAGAAGACACGAAGAAATCAATATTTAATTTATAATATTCTGTTATGTGGGCATCAGAGATGAAGGAGGAGAACCCTAAGAGACTGAGGAGGTCTCTCTAACACCTGCTCTTCTTCCTCACCCCAGTTCTATCTAATCCTGGTGGTTCTTCTCCAGTAACTGGTCCAGTATCCATGTAAACCACTGAGAGTAGAGACTAGGAGGGCAGGATTCCTCTTCAGAGAAAGAAAAACATCTTCTCTCTCTTGTAGTTGTCTTGTAGTTATTTAATATACATGTGAGGCCAGGGATGACTGTAGCCCTTTGGAGACCCCTGAAAATTTGGGAAGAGGTAAGGTGAGCTTTAAGAACACACTTTTGGCCAATCCTAGATATTTAGATCTTAGAATTTTGGTAAAGCCAGTGACCCATCCACACCTTTCTAAGGCCTAAGGACCTTTCTCTGACTAAGGAAAGGGGACTTAGTCTGATAGTGTATGTCAAGTGAGGACAGCTGAGTAAGGGACAGAGAGAAGTGATGAAAAGAATTAGCACTTCAAGTTTCCTGCAATAGTTATTACAAATCCTTATCTCACGTGCAGTAGAAAACCCAACTTTTTCCAATTTCTCAGATGACCCACGGGTCACTGGGAGTGGGACTTGCTTTTGTGTCTCCCCATCCTGCCTGCTTTTATAGACCTAACTCCAGTTGCATCTGTTTCACTACTGGATACTGCACAATCTTTACTTTTCCAAAATACTGGGCACAGCAACTCTCTTGCATATGTGCAGCCACAGTGAGGTGGCAGGCAGCAAAAGCACAGCCAACAGATTATTAGCACCACAAATGTCTCCTGAAGAAGGCCCCTGTGTTTGTCGTTTTCTCGCTGGGAGTTGGTTTCTTGTTACATTGGTGATCTTCCTCAATCATTCAGCCTTCTTTCTTCCTTTGCTCATTTCTTCTTTCAAAGACAAAAACAAAAACAAACAAACAAAAAACAGAAATAAAAGACATCTCATGATTTTTATGCTTGTGTTAGTCAAATTGACAACTTGAGGATACCTGGGAAAAGGCAACCTCAACTTAAGAATTAGGTCCATCAGGTTGATCAGGTTGGCCTGCCTGCAAGTCTATGGAACTTAATTAAGTAACTACCACCCCTGGGCAGGGGGTCCTGTTTTGTATAAGAAAGCAAGCTGAGCAAATCATGGGATGCAGAGCAGCAAGCAGCTTCGCTCCATAGTCTCTGCTTCAATTCCAGCCCCTAGGTTCCCCCCATGAATTCCTTGGTTTACCTCAATAATGGAATGTTATTGATATGTATAAGTCAAACAAATCATTTTGGTTTTTTTCAGTGTTTTATCACAGCAACAGAAAGCACACTAATATATTTTTCCCCCACTTGGAGATAGGATCTCACTACATCCCAGGACGAGTTTTGAATTAGTGGTGATCCTCTTGCCTCAGTTCCCCAAGTCTGGGTTTACAATGCATACCAAGTTGGGCTCACAAGTTACTTATGTGAAACAATTTCATAGATTACCAACTAATCCAGACAATTAAAGATAATGTATTATTTCTCCTTATGCATTTCAAAGAGTAACAACGCAAACAATCTAGCTGCTGAGAAACACAGGATTATTTGAATAAATTGCAGTTTACGTAGATTGTGTAATATCAAGTAACCATTATGTAGGACTCCTCCATCTCAGTATGAAACACAAAGCACATCTCAAAGAAAGTACAGTGAGAATATACAAAAGAGGAGAATGGAGTTGGTTCAGTGGTTAAAGAACATACTGGGTTTCCAGAGAGCCCATGTTCAGTTATCAACATGTCACGCAACTTACAACTATCTGTAACTCTAGATCCAGGAAATTTTTGCCCTCTTCTGGACTCTATAGGCACCCAAATACGTGTGGCACATAAACACGTACCTATATATAAACAAAAATAAGTCTAAAATAAAAGTACAAAAAAGGAGTAAGTGTGCAATAGCATTTCGATGAAGAGGACCACATATCAGGAAACCGGGTTTTCTATAAATAAAGGAAAGAGGGCATGCAGAAAGGGCATTTAGAAGGCTACCAGAGGAGCAGGAGCTATTTTCTTTAACAACAAGAACTCACTTCTCAACATTTCCATCATTTCCAAGAAGTCCTAAGTTGGGGATCAAGCCCTCAGGGCACAGGTCTTTGTGGGCAATTGAATATCCAAGTAATGGCTCTGGAAATTATTCCTACATGGTGCAGCTGAGCAGACCATTCACTGGGTTGTGTTCAGTTGACTGTGGAGATGGGCTGGAAGAACCATGATGATTCCTTGGTAATCTTTGTTGCCTTGGTGTCCTGACATGCATGTCTTCTACTCATCGCTCTTCATTTAACTGAG